TGCCTGAAGAAACTGGTGTTAAGGCTGAGACCAGAGGGTGACAGAGACTTAACTTGCAGACTGGAGGATGATAAGAGACTTAGCCTGCAGAAAGCAGGATACCAATGTAAGAGTGACTCAGCACACAGAATGAAGGCACTTTGAGGGAACTTTGGATATGCAGAAGTCCTAGAACCAGGGACTTGCTGAGTAACTGATGGAGATATTTTTAAAAAATTATATATATATATTGACAGGGTCTCCTGTAGCCTCAGCTCACCTGAAACTCACTAGGTAGACCAGGCAGGACTAGATCTCACAGAGATCCGCCTGCCTCTGCTTCCCAAGTGCTGGGTAATGGTATGCATGCCACATTTGTTTACGTTTGATAAATGGAAGTCTCTTGCTTTGATTGCTAAAATAGGAAGGGTAGGAAGAAAAGAACACTTATGATTAAATATGACCTCAATCTCTAAATTAGGCAAAGTGACTATTTCACTCTGCATATTCATGTATTGTAATATAAAGAATGCTAAATGGTCAAGGTATTCATTTTTTAAATACAAAGGCTTTATGCTGACAAGGATACCATTGCCATGTGCACATGAGTAAAAGTTGAGGCAGTGATAATGACAAAGGGAATGTTTACCATACAATCATGCATAATCTTGTTCCAGTCTTCTCCTGTGACAATTCGGAACAATACAGTAATAGCCTTGCCAGCCGAAGAAAAATTTGCATGCCTAATTTAAGAGAAGAAAACAGAATGGAAATAGGATGACTTGTTATGAAGTAGTGTGGATGGTCACCAGCCAAACTGGTGGGTTTGCAGAAAACTTATCTGTTATCATGTCCTACTAGTACAACTGTTTGACAAGCCAGTTCTCACAAGGCCACCCATTTATTGCCATTTATCATGAATGATGGAGTGAGATTTGGCCACTAAAAGTGACTCCTTTTACTTAGGTCTTCAAAGGAGGAGCAGCCATGTACTAAATACATCATTTCTTCAACAAGGCTTATTTGCATAGGTCTTGTTTATTAGGACCTTTAAGAAAACAACCACCAATTGCAGCAGTAAAATGGAAGATCATCTTTGAAAATGTGTTTCACATATAAAAGCAATTTGCCAGGTTCTAACCTTCCTTATTTTGCTGAAGAAGAACCTTATCTTACAATTGTTTTACCCCCTCCCCACACACAAATGATATAGTATATTGGGAAAATATATGGATAGAAAAATTACAGGAAATAGGTGTGGTTATTCCTGAGGCTGGTAAAATTGTAGATCATTTTTGTTTTATTTCTGAATTTTCTAAGGGTAAACATGTGTATTGTGGTGATTTGAAGGAGAGTTGTCTGCCATGGGCTCATATATTTGAACACTTGGTTTCTAGTTGGTGGTGCTGTTTGTGGGGGTAGTGGTTGAAAGCTTTAGGAGGTGTAGCCTTGTTGGAGGAAGTGTGTCACTGGGGTGGATGGGAGGGTTTATAGTCATACGTTACTTCCTGTTCTTTTTGTGTTTTCTCTGTGTGGGTGACAATGTGATCTCTCTGCTTCCTGCTCCTGCTGCAGCACCTTCTCCACCATGATAGGCTCCACCCCTCTACAATGTGAGCTAAAATAAACCTTATCTTCCTTCCTTCCTTTGGTCATGGTATTTTGTCACTGCAACAGAAAAGTAACTAATAACACATATCTTGGTCAATTGGAAAATGTCATTTAAAATATGTATGTTTTATTTTGATTTCTGACAGATTGCTTCCCTTTTCCTTCACTACTAGTCTTTAATAATGATCAACATTTAAGTCTTTACCCATGATTTTATTATGGAGAAGTCTGCTGGATTAGAGAACAGGAAGACAAATGCACACCGACCTGTTAATGTTCTCTCCGTACTTCACTGTACCAAACAGAACAACCCCAGCAAAAGCGTAACACAGCAGCAAAAGGAACATCCCCACTATGATAAAGAAGCTTTTGTACATGCTGACAACCACAGTCAGGAGGAGCATCTTTAATGTCACCTGGAGATGAGGAAGGGTGCCGTGTTGAGGGAGAGGCAGAAAGAAGAGAAAGGGGAAGGGAATAGTAAATTCATCAAGCCGCAGAAGACCTGGGCGGTTGTATAATAGCAGATTGGCTACAAAATGATTCCCAAGTACGTTATTTGAAAGTCATTTCCCATTAGAGATGGAATCTAAATAGTAATTTTTAAAAGCCATCTGGCATTGGGGATCCTATTCATTCATCAAACAAGTCCAGCCAAATTAACAGAATTAACACCGCAAGCTTTTTGGTCTTCCATCTCCTCTTGGTGCCCAGCTCTATAAGGCCAGCACATTTTTTTACCTATAGCAAGTAGACTCAAGTTTTTTTCCCCCATAGACTTCCCCCAAAGCAAATGCAATAATGATTTACTATTAAATAATCATCGATATTAAATATTCCATCTATATGTGTATATGGAATGCATACAGGAAATAACAAAAAAGAAACAATACCTCTATTTTTTTTTTTTTTTTTTTTGGTTTTTTTTA